AGGATTTTTCATGAGTTTTAGCTCACTTTACAAGTAGAAAGAAAGAGAGGGAGAGAGGAAGAATTCTGAAAGAAAAAGGAAGAAAGAAAGTCGTTTTGAGCTTTGTAAAAGGAAGGCCTAAGATTGAGAGCTTTTATGGTTTTGGGTGTCCTTAGTAAATTCTTTAGTTTTCAATTTGAAATCCAATACTTTATATGTTTTGATCTGAAATTAGAACCTTCTCATATCATTTTTGTGTTTCCATGATTCTATTTGAACCTCTGTTTTATAAGAAAATCAACAGAATTTCAATGGCAAAATATTGTAGGTTTTTAGTGCAGATTTCAGATTTTTTTAACCTCTATTCCGACTCAATTTTATTTCATTACAAAGCTTCTTTTAGAAAAAATAATTCCACAACATTGAAGAAGGCTTCATAAGCTTCAAATCAAGTACTTATACGAAAATTTTCATGGAGAGATTTGAGGGCTTAAAGTCAGATATGAACATGGCCTGTTGAACTCGAGTAAAATTTTGGGCGAAGTTTCCTGCTCGTACATGTTACTTTAATTCGTGATTTCTTTCGTTCCAGAACTCGGTTTTTAACAAATTTTACATGGTTGTAAAAGCTGATTCTTCAAGCTTTAAAATGACTATTTGTTGTGAATACTCTTGTTTAAATTACTTATTGTTGAAGCTTTACTAATTCTTTTACATTGTTAGAATGTTTTACTTATGAAATTGAGATATGAATATTGATTATTATATAAAGCTTTCATTATCATGATTTGCTTATCATTGATTTTTGGAGTAAAGGAGTTTGTTACATTTTTGGGTTATGAAAAAGGAAAATTGCTTTTGTATATAGTTCAGTCTCACCATTCACTACCCCAACAAAAAAAAAAAAAAAAAGCAACAGCCACCATTATTTGGTGACTTCCTTTTTTGCTTTTTTTTTTGGTGACTAAAAGCCTTTTTAGTCACCAAAATGTCAAAAACAGGTGACTAATGCCTTTTGTCATGACCACAAATGTCACCAAATAATGGTAACTGTTGCAACTTTTTTTTACTAGTGATTGTAAGGATCAAATTTAGGCGAGCTCATGTACACAGTAGAATAGGAAATCGGCGGTATAATTGTTGAATGGGTGCTTCGGGCTTGGAGATCAATGGTTTAGGTACAACGGCTAGCAAAAGGGGATAATGGAATTGAGAATGTTACAAGTGTTAGTTTATGTAATGGGTCAAACAGTATCATATTGACAAAATGCATGGTATGAGACATGCAGGTTTGCTTGCTCTATTATATAAATTAATGGATTAGGTAGAATTGAAGTTCATTCATGCATATCATAATTTGTATTGTAAATCTTACTAATCACAAAAGATGTAGGGTCCCTACTAAGCTTTTAGTGCTCACCTCTTTTTACATCTCTTACAAGTTTTGAAATAGAGGCTTAGTTTGTGACCCATAAACAAAAAGAACCATTTAAATAGTTTTGGGCTTTTTGTGAAGAGAATGTTGTTCTCTTTTTATTTTAATTTCCTTGTAAAATTATGTTGTAAATTACTTTAGTTTAAATGAAAGTTTCCGTTCCTTTTTTTTTCTTGTCTCTTGTTGTTTAAATTTTAGTTTTTTCCTTTACCTCACAGCACTCTAATATTAATTATAAAAAAGAAAAAGGAAAAAAAGGGGGTGTGACATTGCCACTTGATCATATACATATCAATATCTGCAATGATTATGAAGTGACCGTCTCTAAAGTTATAGATCCTTGTTCTACTTTTGAAGAGGGTAATAACATACTAATTAAACTCACACACACTGCACGGACCTTTCTTAGAGGAGTAATTGCTTCAAACTACTACTAATGGGTCTTTTGCATTTTTAGTGCATTAATTGAGAAAATGAATAGAATTTCAAAATCCCAATATAATATTATTGAATGCACCCGCAAAAACAAAAATCCAATAAAAGTCGTCATACAGAATATATATATATATGCACTGTCTAGGTATACTAGAAATATCATTAATTATCTCTTACCAAACTAAGAGACACTATGATGGAATAAATAAAATTGAATCACATTTTCCTCCCTATAGAATAGATTATGTTGCACATAGTTCCATATTCTTTTCGGGGTTTGGAATAGACAAGTGCATCAATTCAATACAAAGTTGAGATATCCACGAAGACCAAAACTAAATAATAAAGTAGAAGAAAGGCCACAACACTTATTTTACAAACATAAATTAAGTCATACCATTCCACATATATCTCTCTCTCACACACGCACGCATGTATGTGCTAGCTCCCAAATGTTCCCAAGCACATATAATAACCAAGAACTAGACAGACAAGACAAGACCCACAAAACACACATAATTCATCAGATAATTAAGCCAACGTTGTTGCATGCTAATTACTCATTGTTCTTGTGCTTTTTAAACTCTTTCTTATCAAATATTAAAGAGCTTATTAGATCATAAGTGTAGCATTTTGCTAGTTATAGTGCCAAAACGAGGCCAGGCACAGACTCATTGTCCGCTAACTTACTTTGCCACACACTCTGGCAATTGCCTGACTGTGACCTAATTTCGGGTGACGATAACCGGGTGACTGTGACGGACGTGTTGTAATATTCCCTGACCTGGGTAATTATCCCGTCCGTCACGGTCCATGCATGCACCCACGACACCGAACGACAATCGTCGAATCCTTCAACCAGCACCATTGACCCGAACGCGACGATAGAGAGCGGGACGAACTTGAATGACGGGTCGTATGGTGGCGCACCGGTGAGCAGGCGGTTCAAATGCTGGTGGGTTGGTGGGCCGTGGAACCACCACTCGAGATAGGGTGCGAGGAGGAGGTGGACGACATCAACGTCGTTGGAGGTCAAGGCTTTGTAGAGAGCCGTCACTGTCGTTTTGTTTCGTGCTTCTTCTGCATCTTCTCCCTCCTGCAGACATGGCTGAAAGTTTGCCATGTCTAGAGACTGGATCAGGAAGCTGTGCGTTTCACCTGGGAATGTTGGGTTTGAATTTTGAATAAGTTTGATGGGATTTGGTGATTATATAGGGGCAAAAAAGCTGGTGAGTGGGAGTTGGACGGTTGCATTGCATGAAGTAAAATTGTGGAAAACGACGTAGGATTAATTGGGGCCTGCAAGGTCAAGCCACTAAGAGCATCCACAATAATGCTCTCTATTTCTTAGCTAAAATTTGACTAAGAATATAAGAAAGCTATTTTAGGAGCCCTCTAAAAAATTTCAACTCCAACCATATTCCATAATTTGAAGAGTCATAAATGTTATAACTCTTTTTTGATTAGTCCATCTCTATTAAAAAATAAAATAAAAAATAGTTAGCATTAAATAAAGGTTTGAAATATTCATTAAATAAAGCAGCATTTATAAGGACCACTAGGAGTCCTTTCTCTCTCCTTAGATTTAGGAGCTCCTAGAGGACTCCCGATTTTAGGAGGTGGATAGGGAGCGTGGTTGGAATTGCAATTTTACGATTCCTCCCTAAAATTTGTCTAAGGAGATGGTTTAAAGAGCCCATTGTGAATGCTTTAAACTCTCATTAATTGGAATTTCATTAGGTCCAAAGGCCGGTTTCTCTGCGTCAAAATTTTCAATCTCTTGTGTTAAATTAGTGATAATGTTTGCTGCAACATGTTTTTTGAATTTGGACCTCACCCCATATTGTGAAGAAGTACCATTATATGAGCTTAGTCACAAGTTAGTTACAGCGAATGTGCTCAGAACTCTGCATACAAATTCAAATCCCCCTCCGTAGTTTAGATTAAAGGAAAATAGAAAAAAGAAAAATAAAAAATGAAAGAACAATAATCCTATTTGTAGTACCACATTTATTGACCACCTCTCTAATAGAGATCAGTCTCACCAACGTATGTGAGACCCATTTATATTAGAGAGATAGTCAGCAATGTAATCAGTAAATATGATCCAAATAGCAACACCTAAAAAAAAAAGTACCTTTAAATTACGACTAGTTGATATTTCAATTCATTACTTGAAGACCATAATGATATTATTTATGCTTATTTTAGAATATACTCAAATAACAAAAATTTATGAAGTAAACACACTTAGATTTAGATTAATCAGCTTTTTGCCATATATGATTAATAGTCGGTTATGGATGTGAGACCGAAAGTCATAAAATGTACTTACTCATTCGTGATAATGATGGCTCTTATATATATATTATAAAATATTTATTTTATTTTTAAAAGTAACTTGAATTATAGGCCACACACTCGCAATCATTTTGAACACCCAAATTGCATTAGCAATAAAAAATAATAATAATTGCTGCATTTACCTGACAGTCACTAGTGGGTGTTTAATTACGTGATCAATTTAAATAATAATTCGCATGCAAACGAATACCTAATTTAATCTTCGTCCATTGGTGCTACACCAAAACGCCAAAAACCAGTAGCAGTATTTGCTATATATATATATATATATATATATATATATGCACTTCGACAATGCGCATATGTCATTCAGACAGCTATTTTCCTATTTAAATCCAACATTATCCATTGGAAATCCAGGTGTTCAAATTTGTGGGATTCTTGTAAGTTTCACGATTGCTCGGAATAAGACCCAGTGTGTTTAGCCATAAATTTTTCAGTGTGACGGTTACTCAGCTAATAACCAACGTATAAAAATTTGAAGACGTGTCACCCTGACTTCTGACGTGGATCACACAAATCTGTGACCCCATAAGGGTTTCTTATTGTCCATGCCACAAACACCACTATGACCAAAAATAAATTAAAAACCTTCACCGCCATCCATCATTACGCATGATCCTTCTCCGTTATTGGGCCCAAACATCCAAACCCAGACCAATTCAATTGGGCCCAAAATCCGACTATCAGGCCCGCTTCTAGCCCAAGCACATATATTGCCCAATTTGTTTTGAAATTACAGATTTGCCCATCACCTGGTGCGGCTAATTTCCCGGCAGCGCACAGCTTCACTTTCTTCTCCCAAAAACCTTGCAAAACCTTGAACAAAGCGAAATGTTGCGGACCCTTCTTCGACGGGCAACGGGGTCGGGTTGCCCAAGGCCAGACCCGTGGAGGCTCACGGCGACGATGAGTTACTCGTCTAAGGACAATAAATCGACGGTGAAGAAGACGAAGAAGGGCAAGGACAAAAACGACCCTGCAGCCGCAGCCGACGACGCCGTTTCGGACGTCGACGCGGCTCTCTTCGACGAAAAGGCTCGTGCTCGCCGGCTACAAGCCGATGAAAATGATCCGTCGCTCGATGTGGGGCCCAATGGCCGCCCTCTGTTCACTGCCACTCCGACACTCTCTCAGCTCACGCGCAAGGACGCCTGCTCCTACTTCAAGCTCAAGTAAAACCGTAAACCCTAATCCCTGACGAAATTGATGTATGTATGTATTTATTGGGATGTGCTTGTTTTGATTTGCAGGATGGAGGAATTGAACAATGTGTTGCCCGAGGGGTTGCCGTTGGGGATGGTGAAGGAGTTCGAGGACGCGATGCAGAGCGCCGTGCTAGTTCGCCAGAGCTTTCTTGATCTCCGAGATAATTTTCGATGGATTGTGGATCCTCCATTGCACTCTTCTACCACCAAAGGTGTGTGCTTTGTGTCCCATTGTTTCTCACATTAATTGATGCTTTGTTTGTTGTTAGGTCAGAGTTAGTGAGGTTTGAGATTACTGTCATTGGCCACATTTGAAAATGATCATTTTTGGTTTCAACTTATTATGATTGATATAAAAAAAAATTGTAATAATTTCTTTGGTTACTCATTCTTAGATGACTTCAATTAAGCTTTTTCTGGATTATCCTTTGTAGATAATCTATGTTGTAAGGCATACTTAGTTGCTTGTACATCTTGTGCATCATTCTTTGGAGGAACAAAATTGTAGAAACATATGAATGATGGATCACGTGTAAGATGCCCTTATACCTGTATTGTTTTTTCAGGTACAAAAGTTAGAAAGCAGATTGTGTTGGACGGTCCTGTAAGTTGTGGAAAGAGTATTGCTCTTTCAATGTTAGTTCAATGGGCTCGCGGGGAAGGTTGGTTGGTGTTATATGTCCCAAGAGGCAGGGACTGGACTTATGGAGGCTTTTTCTATAAAAACCCACAAACAGGTCTTTGGGACACACCTGTTCAGGCTGAAAATATTCTGAAGGTAAGATTGCGAACCACTTTTTTTTTTTTTTTTTAATTAGCTAAAATTCATGTCAAGACTTTTACAATGTGCTATTAACTTAAACAGGATCAGTAATCTGTGTAGCTTTAATTAATAGTAGTCAATAAGCCTCTTCTATTCTGGCCAAAACAAAGGCTTCTTCTAATCAGTGATCATGCCTAAAAGCGATGATTTTCTACAGGGTTGTATTAGAATTAATGTGATCAAAACTATAATCCTCTGTCCACTATGGAGTTTTTGGATTATATGCTCTTGATCATCTCCATGGCTTATATTCATCTTTTGTGTCATTTTATTCCAGGACTTCCTGAAATTTAATGAATCCCGTTTAAAACAATTGTTCTGCCAAATATTTGATCCTATTCCACTGGGAGAGGGTGCTGGTGTTGGATGGATGAAAGATGGAATTGATACCATGGCAATGCCTGATGGTTCAACTCTGTATGACCTGGTTGATACAGGAATCAAGCACACTCATGCAGCTGTTGGAGTGGTAGTTCGTTTGAGGAAGGAGTTATCTCTAGTGAAAGATATCCCCGTGCTTATTGCAATTGATCAGGTGGAAATGATCACTTGATATTGTATTGCGTTAATTGTTTTCAATCAATTGTGTGTCAAGAGCTTTGTTGTAAAGTGTTGATAGGTCGCTATCTTTTTATGTTCCTTGTCTGCAGTATAATAGCTGGTTTACGTTCAGTGAGTATGAAGAGCCAGTAACTGTTCGTTCTACTCGACCAATACATGCTAAAGAACTTGCTACGGTAGGTATCCTCTGCTTCAGTATTATGGTGGTTTATACTTGTAATTCTTTAAGGAACATAAGAATGTCCATTCAATTATGTTTTTTAGGCTTTGTATTACATCGTCAAATAACCTCATTCTCCTTGAGATGTTGTCCTTATAAATTTGGGTGTACAAGTGGGCATTAAGTTTGGGTCTATGTGCAGTATATTAGAGACTGATGTGCACACACATATGAGAAAATTCTTGCAGGTGAAGGCTTTTAGATCTATGCGACATGATGACATGATGGTGGGTGCGTTTTCTCATTCAACAGCAGTAGGAAAGCTCCGTCAAGACTTGCCAGAAGTGCCTACAGATGCTCGCGTGAACTTTCCTCGCTACACTTTAGATGAAGCAGCAGCTGTTTGCCATTACTACCTTAGGTATGCTAGTTGATGTCTGCCAAGTTTGCAATGCAATCTTGCTGATTGTATATTTATTGCATGTTTGCATATTAGATTGGGGTATTATATTAATACCAATTTAATTTGTTTTACCTTGTCTCGTGCAAATGTTGGTGGAGAATTAGTAAAAACATAATACACATTACCTATCATTTACTGTACTTTTCAGCTTAAGGCAATAATTCTTAATGTTGGCGGACATGGATGGTGTCCTTAAAATTCAAACGAATCACGTTAGGCCAACAACCGCATAACGATAATGCATTAGTCTTTGAGCCAGTGCTCTGTAGAAGTTAAAACTCTACAGGAGCTTTCTTTCATGTCTAATGCTTTCCTGATGCTTTTTCCCTGCAAACTTCCATATTCTCAGCCTTCCCTACTGTTTTATATGGCAGACAGAGGCTTATACGCCGTGAAGCATTCACGGAAGAGAACTGGAAGAAAATATACTATTTGTCTAATGGAAATGGAGCAGAAATTAGATGGTTAGTTCCTTTGATGCGGGGAGATGGTATGCAGGCAGATGGTTAGTTCTCTGGTGCGGGGAACAGCAGGGAGAAGATTTGTATCACAGTATTTACAGAAGACACAAATTGGAAGAACTGCTCTTTTGCCTCCTTACCCATTGATTTTGATATTATTCAATCATATTGTTACCGTTTTTCATTGAGTTATTACTCATGATTGTAGCAAAATATCCTGTTTTTTATCACTGAAACTTCTAGTGGGATCAGTTTTCTTTGGCCAACGAGATAAGCGTCTGAAGACATTGTATCATATGTAGATCAGTTCACATTTTGTAGTTTTGATGTTGAAAGCCACTCTGTTTATTGCAAGATTTTTGTTTTTCTTCCTTAGCCAATTTCACCGTTACCTCCAGACCTTTGTCTTTCTCCACTACCTGTTGAAAATGGCTTACAAATAAAGAATTTAGCTACGTTTTTAGTTTTTGGCTTTGCAAAATCAAAACTATGCACAGATTCATAATGAGAGACAGAGTTATATCATCGCACAAATTTGTATACCGAGTACTGGAATGGTGCAGCCAGGATATAAAAGAAACTGGAGGGCAGATTGAATGAAGAACTCTGGTAGGACCATTATAACTTAATAAAATTAATTATATGTTGTATTGAACTGTTTGATTACTTTGAATATACAGACTTTTGTAGACCGTTGGCATCCTAAGTGAAGCAAGATTCGGCACATATTAATATTCAAAACTATTGATAACTAATGTTCACCTAAAAGCCCTGAGCAGTCTCAAGACCAAATCTGGTTAAGGAAAATCTCAAGAGTCAGATACCTCAAAAATAAAGTTACTAGATAATTTCTCAGAACTCCCGATTAGAAGATGCTTTCCTAAACTGCAAGCATCAAACTCCTTCACCTTGATACAGATCCTAAGTACACGATCAAGATGAAGTATTCCAAAATTGATAACTTGGCTGCACTAGATAGGCATGGTAGTGAGAGCTCAATATATAGAATCAACTGTATCAAGATCTTCTGTGTAAGTAGACTAGCAAATACCCAAAAGACCGGGCTTCAGATTGATGTCCAAGTTCAAAACGGAGACTGGCACAAAGGGCAAGTTGACTTGTGAGAAGTTGAGAACCACTTATAGAGGCAGGCAGAATGGAACTTGTGCTTGCAGGTCCTGCATGGAAGGCGAGGAAGGCCGTGGTTTGTAGTATGGATGACACTGTAACAGATAGGGCATTCCTCCACGCCTTCAAATTCCTTGTCAAAGTTGCTCTTCCATATCTTGATAGCTTCTGCTAAAGCTCCATTCTACATCACACAAGTAAAGAAAATTATCCATTGGGTCCATCTGCCATATTATAACAACCTATTCATGTAATTTTGAGCCTTCCCTTTCATCTCGCTCACCTAATTTCATTATTGATCTACACCTGTTCTCTATAATAGAACGAGATTACCCCTCCCTCCCTCCCAAACATTCCCTTCCATAGGAAATGCCACAAATACACAACTTGTATTGAATCAAATTACCTTAGTTTCATCTACCAAAAAAAGAAAAGAAAAGAGAAAACCAGTTTCAGAAGAGTGCTGCTTTTTCCACATATATTCTCATCGTCAAATCATATTTCATAATAGCATGAAAAATATTTCTCGGTCTTCAGCCTTCTGCTACTAGGTGGGAAATGGAATTCACCAATAAATGGCAAGGTTAATTAATTCAATTTACCTGATTACGAACGAACGACGACATAGACATTAACCACTTCCTCTGCTTCACTTCACTAATCCCTAGGCTCCTCATACAATCAACATCAACGGGCCGTAATGGGTAAGATGAAGGAAGATGGATAACTAGATCCATTCCAGTCTCATCCTTTGTATAGGTAGCAACAACCTCATTTGCTGCTTTGCTTACGCTAATGGAAAAATTCTCATCAGCAAGATCATTCTTTTTAATCTGCATGAGAATTTAAATTCAGAGTTACATAATCGTAATCAGTAATGACAGTGCAAACATGGTTACATTATGAATTATAACAACAGCTTTCTAAAAATTCCCACTTTATGAACAAGTTCCCCCTTAGAGAAGCAGCACAGAAATATAATTTTTTTGTCAAGATATCCACATGTCCTAAGCAATACAGAATTAACCAATCACTCTCAAGCTATACATACCAGGCTTAATTCGTTTGCGATGAGTGGTGGACTGCACCATGCTCTTGTAAAGGATTCAATTCCAGATAATGTAGAACGGTCACGTAAATCACTGAACCACTGTCTTACATAAGCAGGAAGAATGCGAAGCATCAAACCAAACATTGCTCCAGAAAGCGAAGCCATTTTCACTGGTTCAACGGGCCACAGAGATTGTACAGAAAACAATAATGAACCAGTAGTTATGGCACGTGTTGCTGCAGCTGCAGCTTCTGCTATACCAGCAGGAAGCTCTATATCTTTCTTCTTAATAACATGTGCCATGCCCAGTCCGAGAGGAATATGCTGGAAAAGGCAATCTAATATCACTGAATCAGCAGAATCTTGAATATACTGGACCAGTCTCTCCCTTGCAGGTGATGACGATGGTAATGACCACAAATGCGATAGCAACAAAGACCATGCCAGGAAGACATGTACCTGCAAATTTGAAAAAATCAAAATCAGAAATCAAAATGCCATCACAAAGAGAGCTAGTAATTACTAAGTAACTAGAGATATAATGATAGACCACAAGCCAGAGGATTGATTTGGTTACTAGTGAATGCACATTTACCCTTTGCTCTGCCACCAAATCCATTTCAAGAACCTGATGCGGTAACTTTTCAATCATGCAAGATATTTCCTCTTTCAAATGGATGCTTGTTTCTGTCGACATATTATGCGGGGATGAATCTTCTTCACTGTTAGTGACACCGTCCAAATAAGTTTTGTCTTCAACAATTGCCAAGTGTAAAACAGGTTCCGAAGAAATAATAGAATAAGCGGCGAACTGCAACAAAGGAATGGTTTTCGAAGAAAAGAGAATTGCATACAAAGAGCTAATAGGTCCTTTGCTCAGCCCCCAAAATTCTACTGACTTCACTGCCCTATCTCTAGCATTTGTTGACGAGTTGACAACACCTGAGGCCACCAACTCCCAAAACTGAGAATGTTCAAATCGAGACAACGAAATTAGAGATGCAGCCTCATCACAACAGGAACTTGCAATGGCCTCTGCAATGCCGGTGCAGAAGAACAACCGAAGTATACCTTCTAAAATTCGATCTTTGATGGGGTCCCATCTTTCCATTCTCAAGGGGTTTACGTTATCTGCATCTTCTGCTTGTCGGAGACCAAAAGGTCCACAAGACAGAGAAAATGATAAAAGGGCATTCTTGGCAATGTCTATAGGAAAGGGATCTGAAATATAAAGAATTGTCCCAAGCTTATTAAGGATAGAATCCAGGTTATGAGAAGTAAAGCTGCTAGTGATGGTGTCATTAACATTTTCAGCAATTTCCTCCATCAATACAACAGCCGACTGAATCCAGCGCCTTAACTGATATAACACAAACTCCCAGTCATCTTCATCAAATTCCTTCCAACAATAACCAACAGAAACAACGATTAGCCTTGAAAGCAAAGTCTGCACAACTGGAAGCTGATTGATTACAGTTGATGTGCCAGGACCCCTCTGCTTCCGAAATAATTCAAGTAGGAGTGTGCTCTCTTCAGAGCTGATATTTCTCTCCAGGGTCGGGGTTTCTAAGCCCCCTAGTGTACTAAAAGGATAACAAGATATAACCAACTGAAACCAATCCTCCATATCTACAAGAAGAAATCAAAATGAGGCATTAATACCATTTCTTAGCAGATTATACTGTAAATCAACAAAATGAACTGCAAGCACCATCAATCATGGCCCTTCATTACAAGTGAGAGACGAGGGAGGAAGGGCCCCCCACTTGATGCTCCGAAGTGGGGCATTCTCTATGTATGAAATCCAAACAGTTTCTATTCTTACTCTCAACCACACTGTTTGATTATATACTTACATTCTAAAACTGAAATGACTAAAAATATTTGTATTGACTTATAGAAAATTAAATGCATTTACCTTGTCCTGTTTGCCATGTGATCAGAGGCGGAAATGATATAGCTTTCTGGAGCCAGCCTGCAATAATATCAGGTACATGATTTTCCCCAGAAGAATCAGGTTGGGTATCTCTACTAGAGTCATGAGATCTGATGCTTCTTTGACTTAATGGTCGAATAAGAACATTAACAATCAGGGGAAGAATCCTCAAGCAGTTCGTATTTATAGCTTCACCAACAAAAATTTTATTTACTAGCAGTTCAAATAGCATCATAGCCTTTTCTGTTTCCCATATATTATCTTTGAACAAAGTTAAAAGAAAAGCTACAAGAGCTCTCAAGAAAGGTTCTTCAATATCCTCCACTTCTTCACTTGAAGCAGGCCCCAGACAGACAAAATTCTGTGCACCACATCCTCCATGAATAAGTGCACCGTCAAGTAAAATGTTGAAAACAAAATCTAACAAGCTCTCCTGGGAAGAGTAATTTCTACTCTTCGCATATGCACTCAATGAAGGTAAGAATGAAGCAACAGCACATCCTCCTGGCCATTTCCAAGTACACAATATTTCAGCAGCAAGCCAGGATCGAGTATACTCTTTATTTGCTGTTTCCTGGGAAGGAGGGAGACTATGTTTTACATAACCCGCAACAACTCTATCAATCCCAAGTTCTGAGATGATCTTGACAATAAACGAAACAAACTTTTGATGGCCAAAGTCCTGCATTTGTCATATATTTAAAATCTAAGTCTCTACATCCCATACAATAAAAGACGGCAAAAGCAATTTAACAAAAAGTAAAATCCAAAAATAAAATCAAGTAAACTATTTCATGAGCACAAGTAGAATCAGGATGAAACAGGTTCCCTGCTCTATTACTACTCTGAGAGAAAAACCATAAACTAGCATCAATGGCACAGTTATTGAGTTAATTCTGTTCTGAACTTAGCTGATTGGATCATTATATTTAACACAGTTCTAATTGAAGTTTGTCATTCGGTACTGGATTGATTGAGGAAGTGCAGAAAGCTCTACAACAATCCTCAATGACTTCAATACATTGATACATACTATTTTGGGGGTAGAATTATATTTCCTCTTTTCTAAGCACCTATTGGGAACCTGACAGTTTGGGGGATGATGAACTGATAACATAACCAATAAAGAACGACAATAGATATCCAGCTAACAGACTACAACTCAACAAAGTGAGCAATCATGAGCACATGTTTAACAGAAAAGAATTTGCGACCAATATATCAGTAACACCAAGGGCATCTGAGGGCTGGAAAAG